AAATGTCTATCAAATGACTAATGAATAAACAAAAATGTGAAGTAACTACACAGTGAAATAGTAATCAGTCATAAAAAGGAATGAAGTACTGATACATACTACAGTATGGATGGATCTTGGAAACACTATGCCAAGTGAGAGATGCCAGACACAAAACGCTGCATATGATTCCATTTATATAAAAACGTCCAGAATAGGAAAATCCACAAGGATAGAAAGCAGATCTGTGGTTGCCAAGAGCTGAGGAGGGGAGAGAGGGAAATAGGGATGACTGCTAATGGACTAGAGGGTTTCTTTTTGGGGTTGTGAAAATGTTCTGGCATTAGCTGGTGGTGATGACTGCATGGAGTCCTTGGGGGGTGCAAACAGTTAATGCATTTGGCTGCTAACAGAAAGGTTAGAGGTTCAGGTCCACCCAGAGGTTCCTTCGAAGAAAGGTCTGTCATCGCCTACTTCTGAAAACTAGCCAGTGAAAACACAGAGGTTTAAAGCAGCCCAGTTCTACTCTGACACACACGGGGTCACCATGAGTTGGGATCAACAGCAACTGGTTTGATTTCTTTTTGATGGTTGAATAACCTTGTGAATAAACTAAAAACCACTCAACTGTATACTCTGGAAAGCGTGAGTTTTGTATGTGAGTTATATCACAACAAAAAAGGAAAAAAAAAAGAGATTTACCTTCTTGGCAAGTAATCCTTTCACCTGCCTAATCTTTAGTTACTAACCTTCATTGATACAGCACCAAAAAAAAAAGAAAAACAAACCAAAACAAAAAAAGTCCCAAACTAAAACAGTAAAACAAACAACAGAACAAATCCAAAAACAAGTATGGAGTCTTAAATTCTGTTAGTTTTAAAAATTTTACTTCTCATTTTGTCACCAAGACTTACAAATTCTCAGTGGAATACCATAAATTAGATTATAATTACCAGGTCAGTCAAGTGTCAGTTTTTAACATGAAATTATTTATCTTGATAGTATACTGCAGAAAAGAGCAACAAGCAAAATACAAAATTTTTTTTCCAGTTCAGCATCTTACCTCCTCAAAGCTTAAGCCAGACATACTTACTTTACACTACATGATATTACAAAAGAGTCCTGGTTATACAATGATTAAGTGCTCAGCTGCTGATGTAAAGGTTGGAGGTTCAAAGCCAGTCCAAGGGGACCTGGTGATCTGGTACTGTAAAAATTACAGCCTAGGAAACTACATGTGGCAGCTCTACTCTGTCCTACAGGGTCACTATTGGTTGGACTGGACTCGAAGGCACACAACCACCACCACTACACCACCAAAGACAAGATTAATAATATTGGGAAGACCCCCAGAGCCCTTGATTGGTTCTTGCCCAATCATAGCCATCTTCCCCTCCTTTACATTACCATGAGGTGGGCATCCCTAAATAACACAGTTTAGATACGATGACTACAATATATATAAACAGATTCATATGGACTGTATTCTTTTGTGTCTGGCTTCTTTCATCCAATATTATGTCTTTATGATTCATTATGTTGTTTTGCTTATGGCTTGTTCACTCACTTTACTGCAGTAGTAATTCAGTGCTGATCCAAACTAAATTACCAGTAGTTACTTCTTTCCTACCCCCATTAGGGTGTTCTGTGTGTTGTTATGTCTGCCCCATTAGGGTGTTCTTGGTGTTTTTGTCTCCCCCCATTAGGGTGTTCTGTGTGTTGTTTTGTCTGTCAGATATCTTGGTTGCCTCTATTGATGAAAATTTCCAGTTCAAAATGGAGAATTTCTCCAACATTCAAATTAATATGCTCAGCAACCACTGAGGGTCAATAAATGAAGCAATTAATCAACTTTTTAAAAGCAGGAATCTTTTGTACCCCACATTAAAAAAATTGGGCATAATACTGCTTCTGTTTGTAGATGACATTACTGAGCCATGGTGAAACACAGGCGTATCATTCAGAGAGGCAGACCCTCCTAGTACCACGTGACTCCTGGGACCAATAGTCATTCCCTGCCATTAGCAGGCAGGCTCAGGCTGCTCAGTGGCTCTTAAAAGGTGCAGTCCTGAGTCATCTGGGCAGCCTGTAAAAAATGCCTATCACTCTGTTCTACTGCTTTCTGATTTAGTAGAGGTATGGGGCCAGAATACGCAGTTTTAAAAGCATCCCAGGTGATTTTGATGCAGGATGTCCATAGACTACATTTTTTGATAAATGCTTGGTTAGAGGTCTGTGGCCATTCACCTGCTGATTAAGATTAGAAAGTAATTTTTCTCTGTATTAGGAAGAGTCTAAGTAAGAAGCTGGAACTATTTTGAAACAAATAACCCGTATTTCTTTAAAAGAAAAAAACCTCAAAGTCAGAAATCACTTATATTCTGCATGTGGAAAGCAAAGAGCACATGTATTTTCTCTCACATATTCAAAGACACTTAGAGAAAGAATATGGGAGGGTGTTACATGTCAGATTTCCTCTACGCAGACTTTCCTCTACCCTATATCCCCTTAAATGCCTTTTCACTCATCTTCTATGTACTGCCACCAAGATTTTGCTGAACTTTTACTTTCTGTATTTTATATCAAAAGCATAAATGAAACAAAAGCTAAAAATCAACAAAGATATTGAGGATGTCATCTGAAACTATGTAGGCAAACCACCTTTCTCTTCCCTGTACAATTGAAAATCACTGGCAGGACATTTTATAGCATTATCTGCTAGTGAGAGATTTGTAAACATGTGCCTTTCATACCATTTTCAAAAAAACATTAATTTCTCAATGCAAAATATACAAAGTTAGCAACTTGTATTCTTTCCAAAACAAACAAACAAACAAACACACACAAAGCTGGACAGGTACTAGGGAAGTAACTCAGTGCTGCTAGAACACTGACTAGGATGCACACGGTAGGTTCATAGAAGAATCTGCTTAAAAGATAAACTTTCATCCCCAGTAGTACAGAACAAGGGAAAAATGAAAATAACTTCTTCAAGTAAATAGGGCTTGGAAAGTTAGGATTGCGAGCAAATTAATGTGGTTTAGAGCTCCTCCTAATGGTACAAAGAATGAATTCTCCTCGTTGGGACTTTCAAAACTCTAGTTGGGTTAGTAAGACTACAAGGGAAAAAGCTGAGAAAACAGGAAATAGGGGATTGTCCTAGGAATAGAGGGGAAAGCCCAAATATGAGAAGCATCAGTGGTTTCCCTGCCCTTTGTTTTTGTCTTTTTAAATGTTTGTTTACTTTGCTCCTTTTATTTAAAATATTTTCTCAAAAGCCAAATGTACATTAGTTCTAATCTTGAGATTTAAAATGTCTAGCTTTTAGTTAACATATGTAGAAAAATGCAAAAGTTTCTATGAAAAGATTTTAAATATTCTATTTATTTTGAAAGAGGAAAAAAAAATCCAAGTAAGAAAAAAATCCCACAATGGCTTCACAATTCACAAGCATGTTTGACTAATATAAAGAGTTAGCAAGAGTCAGGTTGCATAATACAAAAATACAGGCGCAATGGTAACAATGGAGAACCCATGAGCAATCAAGAAGGCACATGTTACAAAATCATTTGGGGAAAAGATAAGGGTATCAATAATTATAAAAGGAATAATAATGCCTTTTCATATTATTAATGATAATTATTTATTGAATGAATGAATACTTAAATACACAATAAAGTTTAAAAGGCAATATGATAATTCAAGCCATGGTCTTAAGACCAAAAACCAAACCCATTGCCATCAAGTTGATTCTAACTAATAGCGATCCTATAGGACAGAGTGGAACTGTCCCATAAGATTTCCAAGGCTATAAATCTTTATGGAAGCAGACTGCCTCATCCCTGTCCCGTGGAGCTGCTGATGGGTTTGAACTGCTGACCTTGTGGTTAGCAGCTGAATGGCTTAACCACAGAGCCACCAGATTCCTTGGTTTTAAGACAGAGAAGTATTTACTATTTGTAAGAAAAAAGGCTTTTTTAAAAAAATGGATAACTTTTCTATAGAAGAATCTGCTTAAAAGATAAACTTAAATTTGATGTGTGAGTGGCATGTATTTAGTCAAGAGAAAAAGATTTAAAAAGATACTTCTCCCAAAATGGATAACTGACAGGTGTGTATTTCTACTTTAAAATCCTGATGAAACATGGATTTGGGACTAGAGAGTCTGTATTCTAATCAACCGGTGTTTGCCCTTGCAGTAACTACCTTCCTACTAAGGAACGATTATTTTTAGGGTTGGAGAATCCCTGGGTGGTGCAAATGGTTAATACCCTCAGCTGTCAGCCAAAAGGTCAGGTGACCTACTTCCAAAAATTCCAACATAGAAAACACTGTGCAGCACAGTTCTACTGACACACATGGGGCTGCCATGCATCAGAATTGCCTTGACAGCATCTGGTCGATTATTCTTAGGGCTAATATGTCAAAGCAAAGGATTACTCCAGTGTTTAATTCTGTAAAACTAAAGGTGCCCTGAATCCTAAACACAAGGCCCAAGTGCTTCTATGAACCTGGTGTTGAGACTGGGAGGTAATACCTGCCTTGAAGAGGCTCCCTAAAAGCTTGGTAAAGCAAGCTCAATTCAAAATCAGAAAATTCTGAAAACAGTGGCTATTCCCTATACTACCTTAGTCCAGGAGTGCAAAGATTTGCCTAGGTAACTGTGGGCGTATAACACTGGGGTCTTAAAGGTGATAATTTCAGTAGTTATAAAGGGAGTGCAGGGGGAGTTCACCTGTAATGGCTTTATGATTTTGACATTTAATCAGAATTCTTCTCTGTAAAATGGGGAAAAAACAAAAACCACATTTCCAGTCTCTTACGAAATAGCTCTGCTCTAATAAAGTTCATAATTAAACATAATTTGATACTATTTTCTGGAATTAGGCATTGATTGGTTTCTACAAATATAAAGTGAATTTTAATATAATATACTGAAATACTGCCAATTTATGCGCATTTGGGCTTTTGTGTTTAACTCAGAATTCAAAATGAGGGTGTAATTAACACTAGCTGTTTACCTGGTAGATGTGCTTGTCTTCTCTACTGTGGACATGAGTCTCGCAAATGTATCAGTCACTTTGAGGCTTGAGGTGGAGATTTCCAGCTTAGAAGTTGTTAACTCATACAACTCTGGATCCACACCTTATAGTATAAAATGATAGTCAGTGATGGCAAGCTGCAATGGGTTACTCAATTAGCCATAATCCAAGATGCAAAATGCAACAGTCTGTAAACATCTGAGTCTTTCACAAATACATCTTTAGAACACTGTAACAGTGCATTTATTTTTTAAATCAAAAGTGCCACATTTCAGAGTATTTATAAAGCAGAAAAATATTTTTTTTAAAAATTGTGAAAATATACACAACAAAACATATGCCAATTCAGTAACTTCTCTATGTATAACTCAATGACATTGATTACATTCTTCATGTTGTGCTATCTTATCACTGTCCTTTTCCAAATTAGAAAAATATTTTTAAAATTTATTATTTTGATATAACTATATCCTTAATTAATCTAATATTTATAGAGCAGATACCATTCAAATACTCCCAAGATTTCTATCTATTATAGAAAACTCCAATTTTGGGTTTGTTTGCTACATGGGAGTTACCACTGTTTTAAACTAAATGTACGTAATTTGCTAGATGATATCATTTTCAATTTTTAAATTGACTGACTGATCTCATTTTTTAGACCTTCCTCTCTGCCTCTACCTCCAAACATTTTTCTCTATTATTTTCCTCCATACCTAAAGATTTGGAAGCTAACTGAAAGTCTCAAACATGGGAAATGATTGGTTAGTTTAAGCACATGAAATATTATTAGTTTGAGGACATGAAATATTGTTACTCAAAGCATCAAATGATTACTAAAGATAAGCTATGTACCACATAGTTCTTTCTTTGTGTTAGAGATGGAGAAAGTAAAATATTTTCAGAAAAAAAATAAAAGCACTACTTTTAGACAAAATGAAAATTCTGATCAATGACTAGTTGCATTTCTTTAGTTTCATATCTGAATCTGGGACCCTAAGTTCAAATATCTTTTTCTAGCAATTCAAAATGAAACTGAGTTAGGGGGTTAGATTGACTGCAAAAATCTATCAAAACCCTTCCCCACCTGATTTCACTAATATATACCCATAATTCTGTCATTTTTCCATTTAATGTAGATTTGTATTGAATAATGATGACTACAGAAACACTGCAAAGTATAATTAAAATATTTTAAACTCCTGCTAAACTGTGAATAACATACATCCACATTTAAAGTTTATAATCCTATATTCTCCTTGGTACCAACAAATTACTTGAAACAAAATGTCCAGTAGTTTCAGGGCAGAAGAGATGAGCAGAATGTACGGAAAAATCTCTTAAAGCTCCACCAATTTTTACTCACATTTTCTAAAACAGCCCCACAAGATCAGCAGAAAAAATTACACACAAATGAAGAAATCAGGAACTGTACTCTATTAGCCAGCTCGGCAGATGATTACCAGACGTAGACACAGATCTCAGATGTTTACAGAAATCAAACAAGCAAAAAGCGGCTTCCATAGTTATCTTCACCAAGGGAGGAAGGCTATAGAAAATGCAAGTTGACTCTCCCAAGTTCTGAATATTTCATTAAGGTACAGTTTCAAAATATACTTAAAAAGGTCTTTTCTTTTTAGTTCTATAATAAGTATATGGGTTACAACTGAAACGTTAAAAATTGGTAAAGGGATTGAATGAACCCAAAAAACCACCCTCCTCCATTTTGAAAGGTTAGATTCCAATTAACCACAAAATTTAAGCTACTATCTAATAATGCAGAATAAACTATTGTATTCTGACTGGCAACAGGAAAGTGCTTAGTAAAATTTAGCTGGGTTTGTAAAATATTAGCCACTTGGCTGTCAAACAGTAAAGTGGGAGATTGAAAAACAAAATAAAATATGGCAATATAGCTCCCCCCTCCCAAGTCCCCAAAAAAACCCCTTACTGTGGTTTATTTTTCAAAAACAAGGTAACTATTTACTGTACACTAATAATTAGAGTAATTTTCAAATGGAAGAGGGTTTTTTTTTTTTTTTTTAAAAATCCAGAACTTTAATGAGGCAGTTTAGTTATATAACTAAAGCTAGCCAACCAAGTTCTATGCCAACCTCCTAACTCTCACACACAAAATAATTAAATAATGGCAAGCTAAGACAAAATGACTTTCCCAGAAACAAGTCAGAAAAAGTACAAGCAAATAGTGAAATGGAATACTAAGGAAGGGGTTGACAACTGTAACTTGATGGTGTATTTTAACAAAACCCAATAGCAATTAAAAAAAAGCCAAAGAAAATTTATAGTAATCAAATTTATACAGCAGCAAGAGCATATTAATGAAAATACTGAAAGAAAATATTTCAAAGATTCCAAAGTAATGAGACTGCATTTGACCATGCTAATTTCACTTCCATTAAATTAAAGCTCTAAGTTTCTGAAACCACTTGTTCTTCTCCAAGCTGTAGTACACTGAGCCTGGTTATCAGGTCATTTCTGCATTTCGTTATATAGTCAGGTTATTTATGCTCCTATGGACGGGTTTTAAACGAGTTTGACTTATAACCAAAAATAAAATTTAAACCAGGTTTTTAGGCATTCAAAATAAATAAATAAATGAATGAATAGTGACCTCATTTAAATTATAGTATCGTTTGTGGTGAAACAAAGTTTGAGAGCAAATTTTAAATGGGAGCTTGGTATTTCATTCTTGGAAATACAGTAATGAGGGAAGTGATAAACAATTGTTATGTTTTTTTTTCTCCATTAAGTATTTAAAAAATGCCAGACAACTAATTAGCTCACCCAGGTCATTCTATAGATCAAATGTATTTAGAGGTAATTTAAGTAAATAATAAAAGATCATTCTGAGGTCAAACCAGACACAGATTGGTTTTTCATATGCTTATAAAATCCTGAAAGCAATGAAAATGATAACCAGAGGCTTGGATTTGAGGAATCCAGTCATTCTACCAAATGACCTTTGGACTTCTCTGTAGCAGGATTAGATTTCCATGCCAGATCTTGGAGAAGGGCACCCTGGGTCCATCCCAGGCTCACTCTCTGCTGACTGTCTTGGTCTCCCCCATTTCCCACCATGGTTCCTACACTGTTGGAAATGACTGGCAGGGTAATCTAGCGGGGCAGAAAAAAACCCAGCAAATTCTCAGGAACCAGACTGATGAATGGGCATGATTACTAGATCACAAGTTAGGATGACAGGGACTCATTAAAATCATATTAAATAAAATGTAAACATAAAAATGCCATCATAATTTAATCTTTTATTCAGAAAATGACAAAGTACATTAATCCTTTGATCAATGAACTGAACTTTCGCAGGGCTGAACATAAATTTAACAGGCATTCCAATAAGTTTTACTTTCTCGCTTTTAGTATCTCATAGCAATTACTTTCTGTTAATTTTTGTAACAATTTTTTTCTCCATGGCAAACTAACAGTACACTTTCTATTTAAGAGCTACATAAGAACAGTAACAGTATTCTATGTGGACTATATAACTAAGTGCTAGACTCTAACATTTTGGAACCTAATTATACATTAAGCAGCATTAATGAATACTTAAGTGAATGCTAAAATTTGTAATGGTTCTATTATTACAGGCACTACAATGTAAATTTGTGCGTGTACTAAACTATTCTTCTATCTCCAAACTTGTATTTTCTCAAATAGCTCTACAGAATATGCTCTTAAAAGTAAGCATATAAAATATTCCATTTTTCATTTAGAGGGGGGAAAAAAATCCCTGCCTTTAACTGTCAAAGGACATTAGGGCTTTTTTATTCCTAGAAACTACTTTCATCTATGAATATTACACTCTGAGAAAGCTTTCCTTAAAATACATTTCACATAAGTTGTTTGTTGTAGTCAGATGCTAGAAAAGAACAACAGGTAGATGAAAGAAAAGCATTAGAAAGACATTATAGAGAATACAATCTAGTTGTTTTCTTGTTTATAGGAAAGTCAAGTGATGTGGTCATGCTTTTAGTAAATAAACTAGAATCATGGTTTTATCACTCTGCTGACCTGGGATTGTGGTGCTGCTGCTAGAGCTACTGTCATCCACGGGCCCAAAGAAATCAAGGTTCAGAAGAGTGGAACCTCCACTAGCTTGAAATTCAGTGACCGTGTTGGTAGGCAGCCACACAGAAGGTAAGCCAAGGGAGGAGGGGTTATGTGTAAAAAGGGGTAAGACACACACTTGAACATGCAGGTTAAAATTAGTAGTCATTACACATTTTTAAAATCAACATTAAAACAATGTGTACAGTATTAGTTTTTCATTACTAAAGACATTTCTAAAGTAACAATTTAATTCAGTGTACATTTTCTCATGTACAATGTAAATAATTTAACACTTGGTAAGGTTTTAGTTAAAAGGAGTTCAGTTCTTTCAATCAAAACTGGAAGCCATACCAGAAAGATCAAGGGGAAAAAGTGTACCCGTTAAAGGGAAACAATACTTTAATCTTAATCCAAGACTGAGTCATCGGACATGCTCAAATCATTCACGTTAGTAATGTTGGTTTCTAATTAATGATTTTTAAAAAGTGACAGAATTTGTCAGTTTCAGGACACACACCAATACATTAACTTAGTTTAAAATAACATAATAAAGAATGCCGTAACTACCCTACCCTGGCGTGTAACCTCAAGTTGTACTGTTCCCCTTTAACTCTGAAACAGTAATCAGAAATAGTATACATTTTTAAAGAAGTTGTTTGTTAATAGAAAGCATGATGATTTGACTGAATAAGACACCAGACAACAGCAAAAGGTGCATCCAGGCTTTCCTTCAGCACTATATTATTCAATTGGATGCTTTCTGGATATCCTACAACCTTGGTATAAGGCAAAGTTGGTAAGAGTGACAGGTGTTTTGGACAATGGTTCAAGCAATTTATGAAGTACAAAGAGTTAAGAGTAATTGTATCTCAGGGTCCACTTAAAAACTTGTGGTGTCAACACACTGGGAAACTAGTATTATTTAAAGTTCCCATATTACTGGACTAAGTTATCCCCTTTTCAGGATTTTTTTTTTTTACAAAAGCCATAGTGAAATCAATTATTTCTGGACCTATCTAGTAGCATTTTGCGGTAAGTTTTAGAAAAGGATCATGAAAATAATTCATTATCCATTTGTATACAGGTGCTCTAAAAAATATTACTAAATCTGAAAACTACTTTGAGTCAATAAACATGGACGTATCTGCACACTGTTTTTGGTGAAGTAATTGTGCTTTGTGCTTTGAAGTAGCCTCGAGCCACAGGTCTTTGCATCCAAGAAAATTCCATAAATTAAAACTCCAGAAAAGAAGTTTCAAGTAAATTGGTTCTAGCTAAAATATTTAAACTACCCAGGTATTTGTTTTAAAAAAAACAAACAAAGAAACAAAAAAGCAGCTCATTTTCAATTTAAATTCTACCTAGTTCTTGTTACCCTACATTTGGACATGAATACTGTTAATAATAATAACAGCTGGTTTCTTGAGCAATTACTATTCAGAAAGAAAGCCTGAATTTCCAAAGACAAGAATAAGAAGTTATGTTCAAACAAAAAAGGAAATCAGCAGAGAGAAGTCTGTCTGAACTTTGTAGCTTTCTTAACTCTAGCTCTGGTGCTAGAGGCTCTACGGAGAGACGTACCATCTAAAGGGTTAGTAAGGCCACTGCTACTCCAGTCAAACTGGACGGGTGGTAGAGACTCCTAGAGTTGAAAACCAAAAAATCAAAATTAATCAGTACAGGTTGTAGCAACATTAAAAAAAAAAAAAAAAAAAAAGTTTAAAAAACTATTATAGGCAATAAAATACCTAAAAACAAAATTGGGATAATTTACAATTTCAGAAAGTCATCCACAGATACTAACACATAGTGAAATTATAGAACTGACAAACAGTATAGCTTAATGATATTAAAAAAGTTGTATCTGAGAAATGCTGTATCTTTATATTTTCAAACAAATTTATGGACTGATTCTTTGTCAAGATTTCAATCTTGCTCAAATCATAATCCCAACTATTAGCTTAATTATAAGAAAAATGTCAAAATATAGAAAAAAATTTTACTATTTTTCACTAATAAGTTAATTAACAAAGGACATGTGAATTATGTGCAATCTTGAAAATGTTATTTTAAATTACTATATAGCCACTTAAAATTTCTTAACAAATAATATAACACAACAGAAAAGGAGATTTTGATTATTCAAGACCAAGTAACCATTAAGTAACTGTTGGATAACTTTGCACAGTTCAGTTAATTTAGTTAGTCTTCTTGTCTATGAAATGAGAAGGTTCAAAGTCCAAGGTCTGTGATTCTTTGCAATTTTCCAGTTTCAAAAAAAATTATGGGCCATTCAATGGAAATTACATTTTTTAAAAAAGGTTGATTTCATGTATTTATTTTAATCACCTGCAATTTAGAAATTGCTTATAAGCGGGTATGAGAAATTTAGTTTTAAAATAATACACTAAAAAGGATATTCAAAACTGATCTGAATAGTCTAGGTTTTTAAATTTCATAACTGCCAAAACATAGAAAGATAAACTGAACAAATGGTATTTTTTTCCCCCCTACACAAGCACTGATTCACTTCAAGAATATTCATGATGAGAAAATATTTTGGGATTTTTTCCTTTTTTTTGGGGAGGGGGTGTTGACTACATTTATTGAAATAACTTGTGCTTTATTAGATCGAATATATCTATACACACACAGACACACACATATTATATATGTAGAGATTAGAAGGACTGTAAAACAGAAAAATGTCTAAATGTCTGTATTTTCAGGTCTAAGCAGAGACCAAATCTCTCACTCTGTTTTAATTATTTATCACTATGCTTTACTGTATGGTCAAAAAAAATAAAAATTAATCTGTTGCAGTGGAGCCAATTCCAACTCATAGCAATCCCATGTGTCACAGCCTAGAACTGGTCCACAGGGCTATAATCTTGGCTGTAATCTGAAGGAGGCAGATCACCAGGTCTTTCTTCCACAGTGCCATTAGGTGGTTTGAACCACCAACCTTTAGGTTAGTAGTTGAACAAAAACCGTTTGTACCACTCAAGGACCTTTTATTTTATGATAGGCATACTGTTAATACTTTATACTCATTTTTTTCTGGGTAGGTAAAGACATTGCTTCCTGTAGGAAAAGGGCTTGAATACATTGTTTCTGAAATCTAATCCCATGGTATTATGATAATTGTTGTCTTGATAACTGGGGTATAAATGATAAGCAAATTATAAGCATTTAGCCCAAGGAAATCAGATCAGGCCTGAGTGTTGAGTGGGGAGGTACAAAACAAGTAAAATGCTAACATTATTGGTTGCCAAGGGTTAGGGATGGTGGGGGTGGGTGGGTGGGAGGATAGGACTATAAAGGAGACCTTTATAGTAATGGAATAGCTCTGCATCTTGACTGTGGTGGTAGTTACTGGAATCTACACATGGTAAAATGACAGAGAATGATGCATGATGATAAATGATATACATAACGTATCACAGAATGATAATTATACACATAATATCAAAATCAGGAATTTGGCATTATATAATTATGTAAAATGTAACCTAGAAGAAACTGGGTGAAGGGTACATGGAAACTCTCTGTATTACCTGTGAAAACTTTTGTGAATCTATAATTATTTAAAGAAAAAAAGGTTAAAAATAAAAACAGGCATGTTCATGACTACCTAGTTTACAACCTACCTGCAAGATTGATAAACAGAATTTTAAAAGATTTTTGAGTTTATCTCAAATATACATCAAGACAAACAAACAAACAAAAACCCTCTAAGCATTTTGTTGTTGTTGTTGTTATGTGCCATCAAGTCGGCCCCGACTCATAGCGACCCCTCCTTGGGTTGTTGAGGCAGTATCACTACGGAAGTAGATTGCCCAACCTTCCTGCTGAGGAGTGGCTGGTGGGTTTGAACTGCCAGCCTTCTGGTTAGCAGTCAAGTGCCTTAGGCATTATGCTACCAGAGCTCCTCTAAGCATTCTAAGAGATTCAAATTATATTATTCTATGTCTAAATGAGTGACATCTTATGGCCATATTCAACACTGGGTGGATGGACAAAGCCTAGGTTTCTATAATAACAACATTCTGCTTAAATGGAACAAAGCCCTTCATTAACATGTTTTATCTAAATGATGTTCAAGCAGCTGGGTACTTAGAAATATTTCAATTTACTTGCTGGAATTTTAGCTTTTCATCCAGGTGTATTGCAGTTTGAAGACATAGCCAATATTATAAATAAGGAGGTGCTAAAACGTTAAGTGAGCATCATTGGCTAACTAAAGACAATCACTAGAGAGACAATTCAAACAGAAAGCACTGGAATGGAGCATTTCAGAGCAACCTGAAGCAGTGTGATGTGAATAGCTACTGCAGTGACAAAAGCACAAAGGAAACAATGCCACAACAAAAAAAGCAAAAAAAATGCAGACTGGAAACAGGACACTTCAGGTCTTCTCTTAGTTCTAGTCCTACCACTGATGACTGATTCTTGGTAAAATCACTTAGCCTTGCCAAATGTTTTCTTACTGTGGAAAAGGGAGCAAGTACTAGGTGATTTTTTTTCTCCTCCCAGCTCTAAAGTTGTGATTCACTATGGAGCGTCACATCAAGTAAGCTGAGAGAAGAAATGTTCTAATGCTGACTAGCGTAGCTGCTCCATTCCACAGTGATTAAAGTGTGGCTAAAGTCCTGATCTTATTAAGAGGGTCATTACTAATGGCATTATAAATGGTGTCACCTTGAAATTCAGTGGATAAAGATACAACAAAACAAAAGGTACCACTACTGCTTTTTACCCCTAAGTTGTCTTTCTAAGTAAAAATATCTTAGAAACAATGCCACTGACAGTTTGGTTACAAGATTAATGAATTTAAACCAATTTTTTTTGGAAGAAAAAAAACTTAATGGGTACCAATACTGGCATAGAAATCCATACAGCAAACAGCAGGCAGTCATAATGAGAAATATATACAACTGTGCTAAGTTGGAAAATCACTGTTTAATGATCCCAGACTGAAAAACATACAAGGAAGGCTTGGTATATGTTGTTTTGAAAAAAACAAATTGGCTACTATTCAGATCGTCCTTGACACACATTTCACTAAGCTTCTAGCACAAAAGGCTATGGTGTGTCATATGAGAAATAAGACTAGTAGGAAGATGTAACAGTATTACAGCATGGCTAAAAAGTAAATTCTAATATGCATTCAGAAATCTTCAGTTTGAGTATATATATATGTTAGAATGAAGATCTATAGAAGCTCAAGTCAATTCAGAAAGAAGTTTAAACAACTTCCATTGGTAAATATTAATTTCATTGGTTTCCAAAAAAAACCTAAAAACTAAAGCTGAGGTTCACAAACTACCACAAAAAAGTGGAGAATAAACTTGTTAATTCAGCATTTATATATGTGTATTCTTGAAAGAGAATGATGTACTCTTTAAAAAAAAGAAAAAAAAAAAAAAAAAGCGAGCAGCTTTTTTATGTAAGTAGCAAGAGACCAAATTCGTTTTTTTTTTGCTAAAAGTTAGATGTAATTAAATATTGCTGAAAATTTGCATACTTGCCTAAAAATAGGGAGGTGACAGCTCTTCAATTATAAATGCAAAAGTTGTATGTGTGTGCACGCACACACACATGTAGTGTATGGATGGCAGGAGCCAAGCACATCCCACTGAACTAGAATTAACCTCTAAAAGTCTTCCATTACATGAACACACTTTTTTTTTTTCAAGTTGTGATATGGGTGAAAGCAAATTCATTTTCCATATAGTAGTTCATATATATTTTGTTTCGTGACATTGATTGCAATCCCCATAATACAATGGTTCTTTTCCCATTTCCCCGCTGTGGTCTTTTCCCTGTGTCCTTTCCTATACAATCCTGTCCTCTGCGCTATCTCCCTGTGCAAATATTGCCCTTCTGATCTCCCATGGTTGATTGTTCTAAGGAGTATACTTACCTGGAGTAAATGTTCACCTTATATCCCTGTCTACTGTCTGGCTGGAAGCTGCCACAGTGAGTTCAATTCCAGGCCTGAAGGGTGACTAAGTGCCATAGTCTTGCGGATTTCACTGGTCTGATAGATTTTTATGAGTTTGAGTTTTGTTCCACATTTTCCCATACACACCTGTATTAGGTCAGCTAGACTATTCTACTTTTAGTCAGATCTGTAACTGAGATTGATCAAGTCAGCTAGGGTAAAAATGACCAGTATCTTACCTCTGATAAAATAAGCAATAGTTTATGGGGTGCTAACACCTGTAATTGGGTGGATGGCGAAAACGGGAAGGAGGCAAGCAATACAAGTGGTCTTGAATAAGAACAGCTCCACTTTCAGTAAATATACTAAGAAGTTACTAAAATTATTTTCCTAACACTCAGAACTGTAGGAATAAGAACGCTGATTGAGGTAGAAATGAGAATGTGCTATGGAAGGAGGAATTTTAGAACCTGCAGGCCTTGGACAGTAGTTGATAGCCAGAGGGCAACATCGGGGCAACAAAAGGAAGATAATTAAGGACAGATTGTATCTACTGAGACTTACTTGCCCAAGCCACTTTGCCTCCTGCGCAACTAGAGCATTTCACTCATCAGGCCCGCTTGCCTACTAATTAAGTGCCAGTAAGAGGTTGGCTTCAAAATGATGTTTAACTGGACATAGTAGTAATAGTAGATGCTTCTTGGTAGACATAATTGAAAGAGGACTATGCTTTCTATATATGCTTCAAGAACTAGTTCTACAGGTGTTACCATGCTCCTCGCCCCTAACCACTGAAAAAAAGAGTTCTGTGCTCAAGTACATTTGAGAAATGATGAATTAAATTAAATAAAGTTATTTAATGCAGGCCTCTGAAGAGTCCTCACTAGGCAAGCTGGGACTTTCCAAGGGTACTGGGGGCTATGATGTAGAGCATTTCTGGGGACGAGTATTTAGAAGAACACATATTTTGGGAAAAGCCATTAAAACATATATTTTTGTGTCAGATACAGCTGAAAACAATATTTAAGTTTAAAGAAATGACAAATATGGCAAGAGCATGTTTCAGATATATTGGGAAGCAAACCAAAATGGTCTATTTCCCCCAGATAAAAAGTGAGGGAAGATTTTAATATTCAACTTATTGAGAGTGAAATAAAATTTGTGCTTAAATGTGCTATGGAAGTAAAGGATAAGAAAGGTAGAACAACCTTTTTTGTTTCCTAATCTATACTGTTTATTGTTAAGGCCGCATCCTGTTCAACTTAACAGTTTTACTCAAACTCTCAAACAATAGTTTTTTGAGGCAATGGACACACCTAAATTTTATTACTTTATAAAATTTCTCAGGCTTTAGGGAAAAAACACTAGCAAACTTATGAAGTTGGTATAAATGCAATATTTCTCATTTTTCAGAAAATCTAGCATTTACCTGATTTGTGTGTAATTATTACCATACAGTGCTCAAGCCACAATGGACTTGAGAGATAACTTGCTTCAAACTCTTCATTTTATATGTAAAAAGACTAAGACCTGGACAGGTTTAAGTGACTTACCATAATCACCCAGTTCTCAAATTGTGCCTTTCTGTTTTTGAAACTACTTTGTTCATTGTATTCCAAGGATGTTTATAAATAATCATAATTGCATCCATTATCAAATCAAAAACTCATATACAGTATGCATGCATGTATGAGCACATATACACATAAACATATCTACACACATCTGGATCTTTTTACCTGGAATTGATCAGATGTACATGTGTTCATCTCTGGTGACATGGTGGTTGTCTGACCGATGGAAGCTATTTTTTCTGCAGCAGATAGTGGTTTCAATGGTTCCTTGGTGGGTTCTAACATACCCTGGAAAAGGTATTAGTCATTAACATGAGGGGGAGGATCAACCCATAAACTTTATAAGAAAGTTGGTATACCACAAGCAAAAAGAAAATGCAGGTCATTTAGAAAGTACTAAAGACAAAAAGGAACTATTCTTAATTTTGTTTACAGAGACTCTTATAGAGAACTACAATGGGAAATGTTTTATAATTATTGCCTTTGGAACCAAAACTTTTTGAAAAAGACCTCATATTTTAAATCAAATTTGTTTTAAAGAGCTTAGTTATCATCGTCACAGGAAAACATAAGCACAATTTGGGACTGGAGATAATTAATATATTATATCCAGGCCCTAAGAACACAACACTTTTTATGACGGTATAGACTTCAGTTCCTTGCTCTGGTAGAGACATCCATTTCAGAGGGCAACATCTTTCATGTTTTGCTGGGTATGTTACAAACCTAACACACTCTGTGAGTATAAAGGAAGACATTCAGGTATAGAAATAAAGAAGAAAAAAAAATCAGCATTTGTATAAATACTCTTACTAAATCATTAAATGTGTAATAATTCAGGCTACTAACTTGAAAATAAGTCAAACTTTTATACATTTAAAAATATTCCTAAATAAGCCCTTGAATAAAACTCTCCCTTAACTAAGAGAAAAATCAAGTTGCTAAGTCAATAACATGCAAATCTATAAATCTTTTAAAACAAGTTTTCAGGAGACTATCCCCCCATGAAGTAGGTTTTTTGCCTCAAAAAACTATTGTTTGAGAGTTTGAGTAAAACTGTTAAGTTGAAAAGGATGCAGCCTTAACAATAAACAGTATAGATTAGGAAACAAAAAAAGCAATTTTCAGGTTCAATTCTTAACACTGATACACATTAAGATAGAAAAATGGTGTAATTCAATACCATACATAATACACAGCCTCTCTAGATGACCTCATGTAAGCTGACAATATATTTGGCAAAACAAGGACTAGTGTCAACCTAGTATTTTAATGTAAACTATCATTTAAAGCAGTGGTTCTCAAAGTGTGGTCCCTAATCAACAGCTTCAGCTTTACAAAAGGACTTACTTGTTAGATGTGCAAATTCTTGGGCCCACCCTCAACATGCTGAATAAGAAATTCTGGGGCTATGTCCAGCAAATTGTCTTTTAACAAGCCTACTAAATGATTCTGATGCACATTAAAGTTCCAGAACCAGTGACTGAGTGATCATTTCAGATACTATTCTTTCAGATAAAATTAAACATCTAATATGTAAAGCACCACTGGAAATAATCAGGTATAATTAAAATTTGAAGCTAGATGCTAAAAAAAGAGTATGTTTCTAAATGAAAGAGATAACAAAGATGGAGGAGAGGACAATTTATATTCACAAAATAAACCTTATCACAGCTCACAAAAATAATTATAATAATTATTTATTATTACTAACAATAAAAAATAACAAATAATAAATAATTACTAATAAAGATTGTAATGAAAGCAGAAAATAAAGCACAACCCTTAGCCTCCAACTCCTTACACACATGAAAGAACTGGATGATGCGCTAAGAGTACACATAAGCAGTAAGCAGCTCACTGCTCCCAACACGCCTCCTGAAAACTCTGCAAATGAAATCCTTGGTTACTACTCAGAATGTCACCATACTAACAACCTCTAGAATGCTACTTCATAAGAAAAAGAGAAGTCCAAATAACCAAAAAGTTAGATATGTTCTGGATTATATTTACCCACAACAGAAAAGAATATAGGAATTACCAACGTGTTTTTAAAAGTATATATAACCATTTATAAAGCAGAGAAATCAACAAAAAGCTCAAGCACAGAAATTTTTTGCTCAATTGCACTAAACAAAACAAAAACTGCAAAAAACAAAACAAAGCAAAATGTTCCAATTCAGTCTCAGTAAGTACGTATTCAAAGAAAAAGTTTGTAGATTCAACAAATTCCACAGCAATTCACTTTCACATGCACATAATGGGTTGTATAATTTAAACTCTGTTGCAATGATTCCTTGTTTTTCTTTCTTTTTTTCTTAAACATAGTGTTTCCCCTTTATTTTCAAGTTACTGGTGAAAAGTTAAAAATATTTTGTTTCATAGATAGGACATTTTTATTCACCCATAACTCAAAAGACACACCAATAAACACAAGCACATCAAACTTTAAAATGTGATTGAGTCTCGACTAAGGGACAGAATGAAAATTCCTCAGTTATCCTGGACTACCTGGTATATCTGAAAAAAAAAAAAAAAATCAACACATTTAAAACATTAACAGAAAAACTAAGGATCTGTTGGTCTTGGCTCATTTTCATTTAGTATAATTTGGTTTTTTTTTTTTTTTTCAAGATTTTACATACATTGATAGCCTTGACATTACATTATTTAAATCAAATCAGCTAGATTATATCTTTAAACCTTGAGAAACAATTTAGCTGCTTCTTTGTAAAGACAAACTGAGGGTGGGGGGGTTGAGTGGCAGAAGAAATAGAAACCTTCAAGGTGTATTTTACAAACAGTTCAATTGCTAATATTCCTAAGACAAAAACAAGTCAATCTAAAACAAAACTGTATCTGTGATGATCTGAATATAGAAAAAGACACTATATTTATTGCCTTTCCCACATTAAATGTCCCTTAAAATAAACTTTCCACGTCATGCTGTGTAAGATGATCTTACAGAAAAGCAGTAATGATAAATACATGCAGAGTCATTTTTGTACTTACCAATCCTGCTGCATACATGGGCACTATAACAGGCTGCTTCTTATTGCCCGTGAAGAGCTACACACATGTGATAAGAGAAAGAAAATGTATTTAGAAAATGATCTGTCATATAATATTTCCTAAAATATGTTTACAATGCTTTATTACATATACTGTGAATGATAAACTGAAGACCTGGTAAACTGCCCACATGGGGTTGTATTTTTGATTTCCTAGTCCAATTTCTTCATTTTAAAGCTAAGGAAAAACACTAACACAACCTTTTCTAAAAATAATAAACACAAAACATAGAAAAGGATGGAATCCTCCCTAACTCATTTTATGAAGCAAGCATAACCTT